AGGAATGCCACCCACACGTCAGACCATGACCTCCTCTCTGCCTCTGCATTCCTCTCCTGGCTGGGGGTGGGTTCTCTGTTGTCACTGTTGCTTTTTTTTTTTCCTTTTCTTTCTTCTTTTTCATTAAAGTTTCACAGATACAAAGACATGGAATTAGTAATTAACTTCATACAGCTCTGTCATAGTCTGTGTGTCTGCGGGAAGCAGTGCCATCTCAGGTGGCGGCCGCAGTCATTAACTACGTGGCTCATCTGGACTGGTTTCTTCATCTGCTTTCAGAAAGATAAGGGATTGCTGTCTTTGTGCACGGTTATGCTATTAAACAGCAAAACCACAGATTTTCTGTCTCTCGGTTTGACAGTCTACCCTTAACATTTAGCCTTCAAAATAGTTCAGATTGGAAGTGGCACTGGAAAACTGCTTAAAAACTGTTGAAAACGTTAATGAAATGTCAACTAAAAATGTCATTTCTGAGATCTTACCGTCTCTTTCTTTTTAATGCAGGTGTCTGTGACTAAAGCTGACAGATCCTTGGGCTTTGCCATTCAAACGTGCTTTGTTTCCCCGTTTTCAAATCCAGATAGAATGTCTGACTACACCATTATAGAAAACATTTGTCCTAAAGATGAATCCGTTAAATTCTACAGCATTGAGAAGGTGAACTTTCCGATACCACATGCACAGAAGGACAAAAAAAGATTTAGCTTTGTGTTTAAACCAATGTTCAACATCTCACTGCTCTTTCTTCACTGTGAGTTGACTTTGTGTACAAATAAAGACAAAGATACTCAAGGACTGCCAAAGGTCAGTAATTTATTAAAGTCTAAACTTCTGATTTAGGTGAAAGTAAGATTTTTTTTTTTTTTTTTTTTAGCTGAACTTTGAAGTGACTAAATGGTTTTCTGTGGAATTGATGTAATGAACATGATAGGTCTAAGCTCAAGATTTTAATAGATAAGAGTTGTGATGCTATGCATTTTGACTGCATAATTTACAGTTTCTGTTTAAATTTCATTAAGTGGTTACACAGGATAAATAGAAATTGCTTTTTATTATGTAAGTGTTTCAGATTTATCTTTGTTATCTGTATCACATCCATATCCAAAGTACAAACAATGTTAGCTTTAATTTCCAAAGACATGCATAATATCAGATAATGTTGCAATCTGACTGTTTCAAAAGAGAATTGCCAATTTTTGCTTTATAACTAATGGAAATGGCTGTAAATTAGTTGTTAAAGAATGTGTTCTAAGGATTGGGAATTTGTTTTTACTTCGGGGTTTATGCACAGTCCCCTTAAAATGCATTTTTTAAAGATGATTTGTCATTGTTGATCAACATGTGTAGGTGGCTACAGTTTTGGCTACCAGATTTTTAAAAAACATTTATACTGAAAATAATTACTACTGTTTAAGTTCAGTAGTAACACTCTCATGAAGGTTAGAGGATCCTTAATGGAGGCAAACCTTGCGTTCTGAAGCAGAGCTAAGAATTACCTTTGCCAGGGGTCGTTTGGAGGTTCTCCTCTTTTTTTGGTAAATAATCCAGGATAAAGCTGATGCTGAGGCAACTGTGCAGCTGGAACAGCTATCCTGGCAGACGAGTGACTCTGACCTCACACACTGGTTTTTCCACCCTCAGTGCATTCCTCCTGATGAAGCTTGCACCTCTCTCAATGTGGATATGATCTTGGCCATGATGCACAACAAGAAAACCTTCACCAAGCCCCTTGTTGTAATAACACATGAAGGAAGACCAGAAGGTATGAAAATGAGCTTGAACCGTTTGATAAAGCTGTATATATATTATACTGTGTAACATAAAGCCGCTTGAAATGAGGGAGTACTGCAAGTATGTGGTATCGTATAATCTTGTGGTGATACTGTGTTTGTAAGATATTATTTGTTTAGACATTTCCCTGGCAGCAATCATCATGGCAGTTCATTGCTGGTTTTTAACTGTCTTTATTGATCTCTGGACACATGGTTTTGCCAGACATTGAGAAGGGAATACTGTAGTACACAACAGTATGTGTTTCATAGTATGAATATAGCAGTGGCGCTTCCAGCAACTTCTTGTTGCCCAGAGATCAAAGGCAGTGCTCTGCTCCCTGCTGTATCATTTCTTTATTCTGCCTGTAAATATATATTTAGGAACAAAGACAATGGAATTACAAAGTTTTGAGGACGCTAAAGCCTTGTAAGTTTGTAAAGCAAAGCGGTGGCCAACAGAGAGAGACTCATTAGACTGTTAAACTATTAAGAGCAAAAGACGAGACGTGCAAAGGTATTTTAGCTCCACGTTGGTGGGGCTTGTTTGATTAGGTAATCTTTATGGAAAAAACCGCGAGTATGGCTAGTAACTGGTAGAAGGAGTTGGAAAGGGTGAAGAGCATTATGAGAGAATGCCAAACAGCATGATGAGAATATACTCTAGCTTAAGAATCTGCCCTGTGAGTGATGGGAAATAAGAACTCTTTTCACAGTCTCATTTAATTTGAAAGTTTTTCTTAGTGAATCCCTCTGACAACAGCATCAGTCATGTTTTGATGCATTTGTAGAAGAAAATATATGTGCATTATCTTTTCCTTTTTATATTAGCATGGCATTTTAATCAGAAGCTTCAGTGGCTTCCACATGCACATCAAAATCTTCCAATTGTGTCCAAAGGCTGCTTGACTTTTGAAATGCTTTTTGGGGAGAGTCAAAGGATGAGGATCAGAAGTCATTTAACCTCCATTGTACAGTGTGTGCTTTTTCATCTTCAGACAATTTAAAGTACCATACAGCATTGCTAGGGGACATAAGCAACAGCTGTTTCTGTTTAATTCTGCAAGTCAGCTCATGTTTAGTTTTTTTTACAAATTTGTTAATACAGATCAAATCCACTATGAACTAAAGGCAAGTATTTGATCTGCCAATGTGGTACAATTAAAACTGTGCTTTGGGCCTGATTCTGCGCTTTTTCTTTTTGCAAAGCTCTCATTTTTTTCCAGTGGTTATTCTATTGGGAATGAGTAAATCCTGCAACTGAAGTTCAGCTTTCAATAAACAGACTTGTACTCTGAGCTCTCTTGCCCTTCCGATGTGTGGAGCATTGTGCGCAGCTCCCGTCTCGGGCTCCGCTCAGAATGTTGTCTTTGTCAGAGGCACAAGGTCTTAGTGTGCAAAGACGAGCTAAATTTATAAAGATTAGTTACAAGACAACAGCGTGATGGAGTATTTTGTTGCATTGTGGGTGATTTAGTCTAATTGTGGGATGGTTGGTGGAAATCTCCCCAGCATATCACAGCTTTCAGGCATAATACAAAGTGGCACATTAACAACGTAGCTTTGTTGCTGTGCAGTTGGTCTGCAGTGAATCAAGCAACCCCTTTTTAAAAGCCAAATGCCCTTGTTGGCCAATACGTGAACCAAAGATTGGGAGAAGAAATTATATCGCATTATTGAACAGGAGAATTTACATCTCGGAGGTGTTGGTCTTCCTCTTCTTTCATCTGAACAGGCCAGCTTTTGTTGTTGTAAACCATATTGTGCGACTTACTGCCATTGGATCTGCTCTCCAAGCCAAATGTAGAAGTCATGCGCTTGGCGTTTCAAAAGTCAGAACAAACTGGTCGTTTCAAAGGTGTTGTCATCTTCTTTTCTTCAGACATAAGCTTAGGACTGTCACTGGCTGTAATAGAAATCACAACTGCATACCTAAATGAGAATAACTCTTCCTCCCCTCCTCATTTTCTTAGTTATTTACAAGCTCTGTTGCTTACATTATTGCAGTGGATCCCAATGGAAGTGTCTAAAACCTCACTTCATGTCACGTTCTTTTCCTTTGCGTTCCAGCGTTTCACACGCACAGTCCCGTCCCCCCCCCCTTCAATGAAAGGCATCTGGATAGCCATTTAAATGTTAGGAAACACGTATTCTTCTGTTGAAATAATCTACCAATGTCATTGCTCAGATTTTTGCTAAGTGTGGAAACTTTAGATTATTATTTCTACAGCAAAAGCAGACAGGTCATAGAAAGGAGGTCAAGTGAGCAGCTAACAAATGCCTCTACCCTACAAAGGTATAGAAAATCGTGATCATTTCTAAAGGCTGGCTGCTGATGTTATTAAATTAGATGCTTTTCCTGGACCTCAAGGATTCCCACTGCTTCTGTGTTGCTCTGAGCAACCCACATTAAAATCCGTGTAAGAACTGGATCGCTGGGGAGAATTGATAATGGGCTACACAGCCTATCACTAATTAGCAGACTTAATATTCTCTACAGAGAGGCCAATGCCAGAATGAGCATGGAAAATTCATTTTCCCCTCAGCTCAGAAGGCGTTTTCTTGGCACTTGGGACATGCTAGTGGAGTGTTTGGACAATCTGATAGTGCCCTTACCCATGTTTGTACTGTTCAGTGCTCCTTGGTTTCAGTCCAGCCCACCTCACAAATCTTACACTCAGTTATGCTGTTGCTGTTATGTGCGCTTGATGACTTTCCAGCTTATTTGTGTGTGCACACACACCCCCACCCCGCGTTCTCACCTGTTTCCTACTACTGTTCCACCTGTTTCCTACCATCCTGCCAAGAGTGATCTGGAAGAGATACTCCTGTTAGAACAAGTGACAGTAATGCAGTTTAAGAATAAAATGCTTTTTTGGATATTGTAGGCACACGTGTCTCGGAGCCTAATGATCTTATAGGATGTTGCTGGCAGTTTAGTGCTGCCATTTGGGTTTTAGAAGTTAGAAGCTTAGCCTTGGATTAAAGATTGTTTTAAATAAACAAATATATTTATTTTCAGTATTTTTGAGCTGCTATGTTTATGTAGCAATTAAACTTTTTTTTTTCCCCCCCAATTGCTAAAGATACAAAAAACAAGTATTGGGACACTGTCTTATCAAATCCTTTTACAGCTGTTGCAGTGAACACGCTCAGATATGCCAGAATTTAAATGAGATCCCTAGGTTACTGCAGATGCAAACTGCAGCTAACCAAACAGGTCCTCGGGTCTGAAGCCAGAATCTCTGGCTCTTCTGCTTGAGGTGGCATTCTTGGAGAAAGATAAGAGAAGCCAGTTAAGCAAGAGAAGGGAAAATTCTTCATTTTTTAACATATGTTTACTTGTCTCTTTCTGTTACATGCTGATAATGATCATGATATTTGATATTCTTGCCAAGAATAACAGCTTTGATATAATAGCTATGATCTTTTATTACCTATCTATAATTAAAAAACAAAACAAAACAAACAAAAAAACCCTACCCGACTTCGAAGACAGAATACCAAGTAGGACTCAGGAAGAAGTGTGAATCAACACACATTCATGCAATTTGGACAAAGCAGTGTGTATCATGCCATAATACCACCTTTTCTTTAGAGGTGACAGCCAATGTTTGATTTTAACTTTTTTTTGTTTTGGTGATTTATCATGCTGGTATCTCATGTTCATGATTAGTGAGTAGTCAGATGAATGTAATCACCTTAAAGCAGCCTTTGCAATCTGTGCTCTTTAAGAGCTCCACAGAGGGATAACCAGAGTTACTGCGGGTCCAACCTGATGACATCTGGGTGGGAAAGGTTGCAGTGTACTTGCCAGCAAAGTATATGATGCTTGTAGCTATGTTCCCCCGAGGAATGATCAATATACAAATAGAATTTTTCTGAGCTGAGCAAAATCATTGAATTCGAGCTGGTTTTCCTGAAGTTTCTGGTTTGTAAAAATTACAATTAATGTCTTTCTGTCAGATCAGATCCTGAAGGTTGCTTGCATAGTTTGTAGGCTGTATGTGGAACTCTGTCTGATTAATGTTTTGTGGGTTTTGGTTTTGTTTTTTTTTTTTTTTAATTAGATCCTTCCCTTCCAAAGCCAAATGTGAGACAGCCACGTAAGTAACTCTTAAACCAATCTCTTTTAAGCCTTAAACTTTTGTCTAGAAAGTATTAGATCAATGAAGTAAATGATCTTCAAGCTTTCTGAGTGTGTGTGTGTGTTAAATTCTGGGAGAGAACAGAATTCTGACTGTATTGCTGATTGAGAGGTTCCCATCAGCGGTTAGAGAGAAGGGCCGTGACCTTTTGTGTACGTGAAAATCAGTTTTGGGAAAACACCAGTCTCAGCCTTAGCAAGCTCACTTGCTGATGTGTATGTTATTTCCCCCTTTTCTGCTGAGGCCACTGCTTCCCAGTGCCAGGGTTTCAGGAGCAATGCTATCTTACGGAGCTCCTATGTCCTCCTCCAAGCCCTCCTACCCTGCGCTGCGGCTGGCCGCATCCCCAGTTACTCTGACACCAGCACTTACAGGTCATGCTGTAGATAAGATCACCGACTTGCTACGGATTCATTTCTTTGGGTTTTCTTCTGTCTTGGTGTAGTGAATTAACCAGGGTCAATTAGTGACCCAGGAAGGGAAGAGGAGGAGAGAAGCAGCACTAGAAGACAATAATAAACAGGAAGATGAATATGATTTGTAGCCAAAACCAAGAATGAATGGAGAAAAGGGAAGATTAGAAGAGGAAGTGCAAAGAAGGTTTTTTTCCTTTGCTCCTGTCCCTATGTCTTTGGGACTAAATTTCTTCAAAATAGCAAGGGGAATGAGAAATACACTTTCTCCTCTCCACTAAGTTTTCTCCTAAGAAGAGAGGACACTGGCTGGTGCCTTGTGGAAAAAACAGCTGGATTTAGGAGAGTCTTTTCTGTTTGCATTTAAAATGACCAGATGTGGCCAAAGGAATCAGAAATACTCTCATAGAAGAAATGGGAGAAAAACCTTCTAAGCCACTATCTGCCAGGTGTTGCATACGCAAACTTGGTCGCAGACACCCAGAAAGGGGTCCTGAAGGGCCTTGCCGGCAGGAACTGCTGGAGAAGACATTTGTCAAACGGGGAAAAGGGGAATGGCCACGAGGATCGTGGGAGCTGTTGGGCTGGGGGATGTCCATAGGGACATTTGCTGGACGCAGGAACGTGTAAAGTGAGGGTGTTGGTTGTGCTTTGAGAACTGAAATTCCACTGAAGGATACTACTGAGAAGATCCAGTCAGTTCATTTCCTGGCCAGCTTAGTCAGTAGAATGTTATTCACTGGCCTAAGCCGTTTTGTGCACTGGGAGACATTAAAAATACTGAAACTAGAAATCAGTTTTGTAAGAAGAAATGTCCCCCAGTGATTGCTAAAAGAGTGATTACCATTTTTTGAAGTATTTCTAATCATCAAAAAGAAAAACACATATCTGAAGGTTTCTCTGGATGGTTAACATTGCGGGGTAATATATCCAGGAACCAGATGCTGTTACCCTTGAAATGGTACTGCACAAGGGCCTCTCCCCTAGAAAGTGATTTGCGTGTGTGTGTGTGTGGTTCTATTTTTGTGTTCTGGAATTAATTTCAGTTATTGAAAGCATTGCCAAATGTGAAAAACAATTGTTTCTATTTATGTTTTCACTGACTTTTTGCTGGCATCTCTTCCGTCTTAACAACAGTTCCGTTCTCCACCTAGATTTCAGACTGAACTTGCAGGAGATGTAGGGGAAAGTTTGCTTGAATGTTAGGGCATTTAAATGAAAAGCATCTTTTGCCAAAGATCTCAGCCTTTTTAAAGCAGATTTTTGAGATAAATGGGTATTTAATTGAAAGCAAGTTCTTAACAGCCAGCCGAAAATGCTTAATTTTTGCAATGTTTTCCAGATTTGGGTGTGCTGAGCTGGGGTTTTGCTTTGTGCTGTGGAACAGTTGGTTGGACTGAAGCCAGTCTCTGAAAGCATCACTTTTATTTCCTTGATGCAAATCTGCTCGTCTGTTCCTTAAAATGGTGCTTAATTAACTATGAATTTTTAAAAAACTTTTCCAGGGAAGTGTTAAGGGTGAATTTTTGTAAAATGGTATTTGCTACTGAAAATAAAAAGTCCTTATTATGCGTGTTTACCTTTGTAGCTGTGTTCTACGGTCTGGACACGCTGACGGTCGTGGGCATTGCCTTTGCGGCATTTGTCATTGGAGCCCTGCTAACAGGAGCGCTCTGGTTTATCTACTCTCACACAGGTAAGTACGAGGGCTCTTGCAGACCTCGGTGCAGATCACGCTGCAGGAAATGCGGTGTGGTCTGAACTCTTGCAAGGTGGGAGGAAAGGGGAGGGGGGCCAGCGATGGCTATCCTGGCCTTTTTTTCTTGCTCTCTGTTCATACTAGGGTGTTTTCCAGCAACTCCTCCCATGAGCCTGTTGGTGCGTAGCAGCAGATTGATACACGCCCTTCCCTAAAGGGAGGCGTTATGCGTTACGAACATGATTTAAAATTGGCTAAAATAATTTTAAACGCAAATCTTGAAAACTCACCTGGGACATGAGTAAAACTGTGTATTCCTGGCTTGTGCATTATCATTAGTAGCATCTCTGTATTTCAAATTTAGTTAACATTTCAGTTAATGGATCCCTTTTGGTTCCTATATTCCTTTTTTTAAAAATATTTTGCAGTTACTAAATCAGGCTGATGTGACTGGGAATGTGATGTGATCAGAACAAGGAGTGGGCCAAATGGTTAAGAGAATGCTTTATTTACGTAGACATGCTCTGAATATAACTAGACTTGAAAATGTTTCTTGGGCCTTGATTACATAGAATTTTTGCCCCAATTATTTATTCCTTCATTCTTCAATTGTTACATTAAATTGGTAGAAGTCCTGTGTAATCTCACTTAATTGTGTCCAACCAAATAACCAGGAATGTGCCCGAATTGGTGCAGCCTTTATGCACAGATAATTTTTCAGTATCTCCTCAGAATTTTTTTCTGTATTAAACTAAGTTAGCAGAAATACAATACTCTATTGGAAGAAGAGGGCGTTTGGGGAGCTTTGTTGCATGTAATCTGCAAGGTGGTACAGACAAAGACTGGACACTGATGGGGCCTTGATTTGCAGCATCTGACCTTGGCTGCTTGTGGATTACGGGGTATCTCAGGATCCCTACAGCGTGCTGGACTCCCAGCTACTTCCACTTCTGACCTCGCAAGGCCCTGCCAAAATCTCTGGGAGGTTGGGGGGAATGGGAGGTCAATTACTCCAAACCTGTGCAGCTCTGGAGCACTGGAATTCTCCCGTAGCCCACTGCAGGGTTTTTTTCAGCATCTAAAACCTCATGGAAGCTATTTAGGAGTGAGAATCCGGCCCTGTCAGGTCAGAGCTTCTGTAAATATTATGTATAACCCAGGAGCTGGGTTTTTTTTCCAGTTGGCAGTACAACTTTGTATAAGCAGTTTAGTACTTCTCAGTGCATCAGCTGTGTATGAAGCTTGTTTGGAATTGAGGCAAATGTGGAAAATGTAAAGGTTGTGATAATATGTATAAATAGTATAATTCTGCCTCAGATACTACTGAAACATTGTGGAAGAAACCTAAGTGCAATTTCAATGAGTAAAGGTGTAAGTTAAGAAGGTAATTGCCAAATAGATAGCCTTTATTAACAAAAAATTAAAACAATTGTTCAATTAATATCATTGGTCCTGCATTTGTGGGAGTTCAATCTCTGTTCATGTACAGGACCAGCTATAGACACGTGTGTGTCAGTAGTAAAGGAACACTGGGAAGCCAACATGATAAATCCTTCAGCAATGGTAGGACTTGGACCAATCCCATTAAAAGAATTACACTAACAACGTGCATCATAATGACCACGTACAAGTGATGGAGAGGGCAGCTGCTCGGGCTCTGTGTTGAGACATGAAAATAAGTGGGGAAAAAGGCCAGACAAAAAGTAATAAATGAGAAGAAAGGAAGGGGACGTTGTAAGTCATCGGATCAGAGAATCACAGAAACACTAAAAAATATCTAGGAAGTTATCTGGTTCAGACTTTCAAAGGATTGTGAAAGTGAACCTATGTTCCTGTGCACATAATTTTTCTGTGCATAACGTCTTATATCTACAAAGCACAACTTGCAGCAGAGTGCAGTGAAGGCTCTGGCAGGGACAGTCTCTTAAGAGGACGACTGCTGTGGCAGACAAGATAATCCAGCTGCAGTGGAAACATTTTAGAGCAGCTGGCTGCAGACCCTTATTAAAATAAGGAGGGGCGGGGGGGAGATAATCTGAATTTCATCTACAGAGTGGCTGTCTTTTGCCATTAGAGAATTCATGCATTGCTGAAGTATGTTCTGAAACCTCATCTTTTGTTGCAAGTAGCACTGGGCTTCTAACACATGATTTAGACCAAAGGCTGGAAAATATGAGTTCATTCGAAAACTGCATTTTGGTGATACTCAGAGTATGGACAAAAGCTACTGCTGGTGTAGAATGGCAACTTGGGATGCGTGAAGTAAGGTATTTCTGTTGCTGTAGTGCTATATGCAATACAGCAAAAGGCCGCCTTTTTGCCAGTAGTAAGAAGGTTTGCCGATATAATTTTATCAGTATGTCTCTGCTGGCAGACTCATTCTAACAGGGACAAAACTTTATGTGAATGAGCTCTTTTGTTCATCTTGATAGGTGGTTCACATTAAAACCTCAAACGATTGATAGCAGAAAAGAACTACAAAAGACATAGACTTCCATCTCCAAATGTTGAACAAGGATTGCTGTGTTGGGTTTTTTTCATGTAGGGCTTTTGCTGATTTCAGTAAGGAAAAAATCAGGGATTTCTGCCAAAGCATCAAAATTGTGCTTTAAAATACTCTACATTCTCTGAAACCATTCAACATGGAGTACAGATGTCCTAAGATACACAGGTAGTAGAGGAAGAGAGGGGGAAGCTAGGATGATGGCAACAGAGGAGGAATTTTAGCCGACTTTTCTGCAAAAGGCCTCTGTACTTTTGGGCCTTTCTCCAGTCGGTTAAAGGACATGGAAGGTGGCTGAAAGCTATCCACAGTGGTGTTGGTTCTGCCCGGAGAGGACCCAAGAATGAAGGGAAGGTAGCAGAGATTTGCCACAATTAACCCAATTTTCCTGGGAGTCTTAGGAAGAAGCAAAAATCTTGTGGTGTACATGGATGCAGAAACCCTTCAAAATTTAACCATGTAAATGTCTGCTAAGGTAATATCTGCCTTAGCAGGGATAATTGACCATGTTTAGGAAGGGGACACGCGCAAGGCTGATTAGTTAATGAGGCTGCTAAACCAAGTAAAGGGGCTGCTGTGTTACAGAGAATATCAGTTGCTTCATTCTCTTAGAAAGCGTGCTTTCCTCCTTCTCCTGGCAGTGTTGCAAGTTAACAGGATAAAATGTTCCAAAATCTGAGAAGTTGAAAGCGTCCCTCCTCCCCCACTTCTCCCTTTTTTTTTTTTTTTATGGGATCTGATTTAAAATAAACTGACATAGCAACCAATTATATTTGGCAAATGGAGATAGAAAAGCAAACATTCAGACTTCCTGGACAGGGAGTACAACTGGCAGCTTTCCTAAGTGTGAATAATAAAGTGCATGTCGTCGCATTCAGATGGGTAAAAGCTTGTTTACTGTCAATAGATGAGACATGTCCATTGCAGCAGTTCTGGTCCAGTAACATGAGATACATGAAGCTGTTTACATGAAAAAGACAGATGGGGAGTGCTTCTTCGGCGATAATTTACATTTCTTTATATCCTTTTCATGAATATTCTTTAAAAATACTGTGCTACAGATTAGCTAGGTATTGAGGAAATAAAATGCAGGAAAAATCAGCCAGTCCAAATGTAGCTGCTAGACTGCGTTCATAACGTCACCGTGATTTGGCTTTTTTTTTTTTACTTGAGGACATTGAGAATTTGTTACTGTTCAACAAGTGATCGTGGAATATCAGAGCTGCTGATCGTGCTCTAGAAATGAGGTGCTGCAGAGGCAAGTGAATTACAGCAGAGGGAAGGGGGCTCCCATCCCAAACCGAAGGGAAGGTGCCTCCAAAGACGCTTTCCGGAGGAGCCAGGAGGAGTAGATCGAGCTGTTGGGCTCACGCGGGGACTCCGGCACCGCGTTTGTCACTTGGCCATAAAGAGAAGCACCACGTGTTTAGCTTATAAATGAATTTACGGTTAAATGCATACAGATCGTATTGACGTGCCGAGGCTGACGCAAAGCTGCGTGCAATCATGTGGTTTGTAAAATGGGTGACAGCGGAGCTGCAAGGAGAAGCCGGCGGGAGGGCGCGGGGGCCGGGGGCCCCGCCGGGGGAGCGGAGCGGCTTCTCCTCATGCTGCCGGGGGTGCGGGTTCGCCGGCTCTGCTGTTTTGTGATGTTTGTGTTCGCTTGTTTTGTTTTCATGAAAGGGAGTTTGCTTATCACGGCCTTTATAGACGTATCCTGTAGTACAAAAGGAAGGAAGACTTGGACACAAACAACTAGAGGAGAAGGGAGAAAGTCGGGAGGGGAAAACATCCAAACAGGGCTTATGAAAGCTGCTACAGCCCGATGACGCAGACGTTCATTTGATACAGTTTATTCTGATGGGTTGCAAAGCTGTTTCCAGTGCAAGTTAAGAGCTGAAACTCGGCTTGTTTGCAAGATGACCGGGGGTAGAGCCTGACCTGCTGCATGTGAGCAGAAATCCGCCGCTTATGGAGAAGCTATTTTTTTACACTGGGAAAAACAGAATCAAAATCTGCTCACAAAAGTAAATGCTGGGCTCTAGCGCTGAATTCAAGAGCACGATCCTGACCCTCTTTTTAAACGTTTCATTGGCCTCCTGGGCATTGTGGTTTAGTGGTTTAGTTTGTTGTTTTTCTGTCCTGCCCCGTCCCTTCTTTCCTCCCCATTCCTAAAGCAGTGGGGTGTAAGGCAAGAGCTGTGCGTTGTGGGGCCTCACGTGCACATACAGCTGTGGCTGCGGCGAGAGCTAGCAGCGAGCCCGCTGGTTTCCATTACAAAGAACACTTGCAACCTCTGCTGTGAGAAACCCTCAGACCTCCCTTGTTTGTAGCAGACCTCTGAGCACGGAGCAGCCTGCAGAAGGACGTTTGCTGGCCCGAGACACAAAGCGTTAAAGGCGCATTTCCTCCGCGGCCACATTCCCGAGGAGCTCGGGGCTCTGGCAGCTGGGCAGCGGCACACGGGGCATGGGGATGTGCCAGAGCAGCTCCCGTGGGAGGAAGCTGCCTCGTCCCGGCTCTGTAACCCTCTGGATGCAGGCTGTACCTCCGGCCTTCAACCTGTCACTGAAGCAATCGCTGGGGAATGGGAGCTCTACCAAATCCTGAGCAGGGAAGAAAAATCGGCCCCAGCAGACCTGGCCCATGGCGTCAGGTTTCGGATAACCTAGAGCAACGTGAGCAGATCATCTGTGTCCCTGTAAGCTAATGAGGCGGGAGATGTACCAGCCTTTGATTTTTCCCAGTCCTTCCTGCCCATGATCCGGCAAAACATTTCCGTCTTGCTCCTTTGCTGGGAAAGCAGGCGGTGCTGGCGCTGGCTGCCAGGGTTGGTCTGCAGCTCAGGCAGCAGCAGTCCGTCCGTGTTGCCGTGCTGAGATCACAGGTTCGCGTCCTGAGAGATGAGCTCAAGGGAGGGGGCAGCTCCAGCGCACGTTGTGTAAACTTAGTCTCGCCATCTGTTTTGAAGAGACTTATTTTGTAATATTACCAAGGCTGCGGATTTGAGTGCTGTAACTTAAAAAATGCCACAGTTACGGTTTCCTACACGGTGTCAATATGATCTTTTGGGCATTCACATAATGATGCAATTTTTACTTCCATGCTAGTTGAGAGCTGGATTTTTTTCCACGGGATCCCAGCCACAGGTGCAGAAGGGGTGTGAGGAGAGCAGGGAAAAATCTAGGTTTTATCAGGAGCCATAAATCTGGCTTTAACTCCTGAGCGCTTGATTTGGCAATCCAAATAACGAAGGGCTTTTAATTTATCGTCAGTAAGCAATTAACAAGAAATGGTGAGTCTTGTTCTCACTACAGGTTGTAAGCGCTACACATACTGTGGTAGCTATAGGGGAACTTCCTGCACATTCTATTTGGAGTAAATCAAGTCAAGCTTGCAGGGTAGCCTGTTGTTTTTCTAGACGAAGAAAACTGGCTGTGTCTCAGGGTATGTGGTATCCAGCTGACTGAGGAACATTGTCTTCAGCTCCGCTTTTAGGAAATATGCTGCTCTATAAACTGGCATTTAAACTAAAGCCTACATTTTATTCGCCTTTTTCCATGAAACAGCCCGAGTCATGTAACGGGACCCATGAGAGTGACAGCTGACAACAGAAGATGGACAATGTCTGTCTTGGCAGTTTCCATCAGCTGCTTTTAAAGCGCTTGAGAAAACAGCAGCATTGTTTTCCCCGTGTGCATAGCAATGCAAAGGTGCCAAAGTAACATTTTCAGCAGTACTCTGTTTGAGGTCTGTCACCCAAGACATCCGTTGCGTGGAAATACAGAAGAGGCAGACTGGGAAGGACCGGATTATTGCTTTCTACAACAACTAACATTTTCAATTTCCCCCCTTTTTCTCTCCCCTTTCCCTCAGGGGAAACGGCGGGAAGGCAGCAGGTCCCTACGTCCCCAGCAGCCTCCGAGAACAGCAGCGCAGCGCACAGCATTGGCAGCACCCAGAGCACCCCCTGTTCCAGCAGCAGTGCGACCTAACCCCGGGGGGAACACGCACGAGGAGCAACGCAGGGGTGCCGAGGTTCAAAGGACTGTGTGTGGACACGAGCTTTGTAAAGTTAAAAGGATTGGTTTGGTTGCTTTTGAAAAAAAAAAAAAAATGAGGAGGGATTTTTCTACAGGGGGGGGAAAAAAAAGACTGATTTTTCTTTTGGGGAAGCCACTGTGTGTGTGAGTGTGTATATGTGCACACGATGCATGGGTAAACACAGCCTGTTGGATCTTCTATAGCATGTTGTGCTACATGTGACAAAGCTACTAATTTTACAGTACTGCAACCTGTTCTAGGGGTCTGTGGGCCCTCAATGTGAAATCTATGCCAGTTTGGAAAAATGCTGCTTTGTCTATACGTTTTTAAAGCTTCTCATTGACACAAGGTATTCGTTAAGGGAATTCAACAAGATAAGCAGAACAAAGATGATCTTAGGTCAAAGGATTTCTATTTCTCTAAGCAAGAAAGCCTCAAGGTCAGGTCTCTTTGGTAAATAACATTTTATTACTTCAGCTATGTTTAGCCACTTTTGAGTAACCTTCCTTTTGTTAAGCTTTTAGCTACAGCATCTCATTTGCTTTCCTTTGTTGTGTTTGCAGATTCAGGTTTGTTCCAGGTATTTTTGTTTCAATATGCATTGAATTGCTAATTGGAGAAGAGCACACTCTAACATTCCCTTTCTTGTTCTCTGGGCCAAAGCTCTTTACTAAGAGATTTTTTTTTTTTTTTAATCTACTATACCAAATGCATACACACACAAAAATTAAGACAAATAATGTTCTTGTGCACTAAGATAGATGTGTGTGTACCTTTAATGGCAATGTCTTTACGCAAATAGATGTATACCTAATTATACAGAGCCTAACTTACCACTTTAACAACTGGGAAATTGGCTCAGTGTTCCTTCCATACATCAAATATATAATGTGTATATATATATAAAAAAAAACTCCACAACTGCCTCTTCAGTTTATAATAGGTAGATGGAGGAGGTAAAAAAGGTGAGTTGGTTCTAATCCTTTTGCCAGCCCAAATTCTCTTTAAAATAAGAGGCGGTTTTGAGGGCACAAAGAATGTACAGTAGAGCCTATTGTTTGTGCAGAATACTGCCTACCAAAATGAAGCTATTCCCTTAAGATAATGGTGCAGTTGTTTGTGTCAACCCCTTGTATGAACATTGCAATTGGATAGTCCCAAAGTAGCGTCGGAATATGGAAATGGCAGAAGGGTACTAATTGTCACAGTATTTTTTTTAGTGTCGTTGCCATATCTTGACCTTCAAATCGTTGCCAAATGAGAAGAAAAAAGGCACTTTTAATGTGTAATTGTTTGACTGTTATGTTGCCACTTTGTAATTGTTCTACTGATCCTTCTCCTGTGAGGAAAAATGAGCATTGTTTTCCTCTAAAAATGGGATGAGTAACTTTTGCTGATTTTAGCGAAGCTTACCTGCGTTCTGCAAGAGGAGAAGGGAATTCATTACACTAGAGTGATAGTCTTCTCTGAAGTGTGAGCTGCAGATTTCTTTTGCTGATTCTACACTTGTGCCTTGCTGATGCCAGGATGGTCAAAGTGCAAGATACGCAATAGACGTTAAGTGTCCAGGATCAGGTGGAATATTACTCACTTTAAATCAAGTCTGTTACTAACCCTGCAAACATTTATGCATATGAGTAACTACACGCCTCGTCCTCGCTCAACTCTACACGTTATGGCTATTCTCAGAGTCCATGGAGATAGCTAGTGTATAGTTATGCAGAGGAAAAGTGTTTTCTCTTACCAGGCCGATGCGTCGTCCTGGTAGCATCAACAGGATTGTCACGTAAGCGTAGTTATCCCCATGCGTAAGGGTGTGCAGGGTTGGCTCTGTTACGAGGTGTCGGGAGGATGAATGTGCTACCTGTGTGGTTGAAAAGAAAGCGCTTTGCCTAACCTTCAGCAGAATGTATTGTATAAGCATATTCTATGTGTAAAGCCTTTAAAGATGTCTTCAAAGAAGACTAGAGTCTTTAAGTTCAATCATAGCTATATTTTACTACATTAAATTTCTGTATAAAGATATATTTAAATGTTTTAGATAAATGTAAGTTCCTCTATATGAAATGTTTAATTTCAATTACTGTGAAATTTACATATTTTGTAAATTCTTTTCCCTGTTTTAACCCTTTCCTTCCTCAGATATTTTATTAAGTAGTTTCTCATAGGAAGTATTAGATTTGGTTGTTGGGATGGACAGGTTGGAAACTTTTCTGTAAAATAGATAATTGTATATTTTTGAGAGAAACATGCTGCATTATCAATGTTTTTTATCAAAAATTTAATTTTAAAATAATTTACAGATTTATATTTACTGTTGGATAAACCAAAAATATATAAAGATCAAAGATTCGATTTGTTGACTTGTATCTGAAGTACAGTTTGATTAACTGAACTTGGTGTACTCAGCTGTCTAATTCAGCAATTTTAATCAATCTGAATGAATTGTCCATTGGAGGTTACCAAAAGTGCATGTAATTACTTAGCAGATGGAACAGCCATCTCTGCCGAGAGAGAGAGAGAAGAAAACCCAGGCATTCCCAGTTAATAGCTTTATTACAAAAATGTATAGTACTTTCCAGGAGGCGTTAAGCTGCCTGCCGTTCAGAGTACTGATACACCTATAAGCTCAACTTTTATAGCAGCCATTCGTCTCTAGTGCAAGTTTCTGTGTGTGGTGTGGCGAGCTCCTGAACGCGTCACCGCAAAGCCGCAGGTTCCCACCTCTGTCAAACCTGGTCTCACCGCGCTGGGCTTCACGGGGCAGATGCCCATGGGGTGTGGAAGGCCAGCGAGACGCTCCTGTCCCAGCGGAGGGCTTTAAAGCCGGGGCTTCGGAGGGTCGGGCTCGGAGGTAAATTTCGGCGCGATGGAGTCGACTGCGAAGGAACTTCTTATGTGAGAATGGGAGGATTGGGCTTAAAAGGGACAGCTTCTGTCTGTAAAAGCTATTAGTAACGTACTTAAACTCCAAAGTAGACCGCTTATTGTGTCATGCGTCGTCTAATCACTAACTAACCTTTTACAGCGTTTGGTTTTGGACATTGCTATATTTGTGTTTCAAGAGTCAGATCTTTCCGTGTTAGGCTATTCTTGTGGCATTTTCCACATGGAAATGGATTTTGCAAACTGTCTGTAGATGTTGATGATTGTAACCTTCCCCCTGCCCTTTTGTAACCATTTCTCTCCTACATGTACCGTTCTTTCTGTTACGTATATCTACCTCATGCTTCACAAGAAGACTGTACTGTTGGTTGTGCTGGCAGCCCTTCGTGTGAGGTGACTGTTCTGCCCTGTTGTTGTTTGTCGTTCACGGGGATGTTCATAGCGTTATCGGATCTTCGCTGCCATGTTCCTACCGGTTCCAAACACAGTATTCTCACCTTCAAATAAATAAGTACCTTTCTTTAAGATCCAAATGCCAGCTGTTTTTTTAAAGCAGAGAATGGGAGAAATTTACTTGTTAATACCTGTGGCCAGTCTGAATACCCCATTTGTGTTTCATCTTGCATCCAGTATTTCAGAGACTTGTGGAAATGCATAGTTGTACAGTTTTAATAACCGCAGTGTCATGTCATCTTAGTCTCTTGTGCATAATAAAGTATATATCAATTTATTAATAATTGATGCCGTGATTCATTTATTTGAAGTTGTACAGAGCCAACGGTAGTCAATCAAGTTCTGTCTCGGTGCCATGTCCTCATGTACCATAAACTTCAGTGGGAGTTAGAATCATAGAATCGTTTAGGTTGGAAAAGACCTCTAAGATCATCCAGTCCAACCATTAACCTAACACTACCAAGTCCACCACTAAACCAGTTCAGGGTGGAGTAGCAATTGCATGTTTCCTGGCTTGGTGGCTTGATTATTTATAATGAAAGTAAAAACTAGGAATCATTAAGATTGGAAAGGGCCTCTAAGATCATCATTCCAACCATCAACCCAACACCACCATGCCCACTAAACCGTGCCCCAGAGTGCCATGTCTACCTGTTTTTTGAACGCTTCCAGGGATGGTGACTCCACCACCTCTCTGGGCAGCCTGTTGTGTGTGTTAGTAGAATCATACAACTCTTTGGGTTGGAAGGGACCTTTAGGGATCATCCAGCCCAGCCCCCTGCAGCGAGCAGGGACAGCTTTAACCAGCCCAGGGTGCTCAGAGCCCCATCCAACCTGGCCTGGGATGTTTCCAGGGATGGGGCCTCCACCGCCTCTCTGGGCAACCTGTGCCAGTGCCTCACCACCCTCAGTGTAAAAAATTTCTTCCTTATATCTAGTCTAAGGATAACTTAAGGGAGGATTTGATTTTGTGTGACCACCTTGATTTTCTCCTTTCTATGTTCTTTTATCCATTGACTTTGGTTGGCTTCTCCGTATCATGACTTCTTGCAGAAACCACTAGATCTATCTAATCAATGGTGCTGTTCTTCACTCTCATGTGAAGTCCAAAGCTCTGATCCTGCAGGCATTGAGTTGTTGCATGTCGAGACACAGCCTCAGTCCCATCCTGCACAAAGCCTGGCTTGAGCGCGGTCGAGCCTAAGGGTCTGCTGTCAGTCCTCTAGCTGAAGCGGCAGAGCTCCTTTGGGCTGTTGTATACCCTTGGCTGCAAGCACGCTGGGGACACGGGAGCAAGGCTGAGATTATTTCAAGCGTTTTTCGTTACTGAAGGGTCTTCCTGTGCTGGAGCAGATAGCTTGGCTGTGGATCAGCAGGGCGAGGATTTGGGTGTTTACTATCCTGCTTATGGCTTTGTTTCCTGTATTTCATGTGCAAAATATTCTTTATGGGCACTCTGGGGGGGCCAGCCTCAGCGGTATTTCCCTGGGTTATTCAAAGGTTGTGGTTATTAACTCAAGAAAGAGAGTTCCCTAAGAAAGGGATCTAAAATGTTTAACGATCGCTTTTAAATATCAAGATTCCTTCAGTACAGAAAAGGCAATTAATTAGAAGCAGTCATAAGCTTGCATGTTGCCTATGACTTACAGCTCACAGAGGTGCAATAGATCTACTGCTTCACAACAACCATATTTCAGTTTCTGCATGAAGACGATTTTTTTTTTTCCTTTGGAAATGAGCTCCGTAGAGCTGACTCTCAGCGTAAAGATATTGGAGCTGTTCTTCACCTTCAAGATTTGTATTTTGACTGAAACGTGGTATGAAAGCGAGATTAGTGTCTCATATGAGGAATTAATTTTAAAATGCAATTATTTAGCCAGCAAATTGTGATAGATTTGCATGAGTATTTTCAGACCTTAAGAAGTAAGACTCCTACCACATTACAGAGTAAACATCAATGTTGTGCGTGTTTGTCTCTGCCAGGCGTTCATGAGTGAAGCAAATGTTTTGGAGAGTCAAAAAATACCAAATGCCAGTTTCAGGAAAAACACAGTCCCTCTGGACTTCTATTTTAAGTCGAATTAAATTAATCACAGTGTTCCTTTCAAGACAATATAAAAGGAGCCAATATTTTGATACATTTTCACAGCTGTCACTTTGTAATTGTAAAGCAGATATTTATGAGGGTGGAAGTCTGTTGCAGCTCGGTTTTTGTACTGTATTCCCAGATCTCCGGCCCTAGACCTGGCCTTGCGAACCTGTGTGCCTTTACACCGTTGGAATTCTTTGCATGAGAAAGATCAGATTACATCACTTCACCTACCCAAAGAAGGTTACAGCTTGAATTACATTTTTATAGAGTCTCATTTGCTACAAGCCTTCAGGGAC